CTTGGAATCATATATAGAAAAGGGGATTATCCCCAGAGGGTTATGGGAGAGAGTAATTCTGGCTGAACATCTCCATACTCCTAGGTTTTTGGAAAGATGGAAGGATGTCTGCATTGAACATGGCATTGAAGTTATGTGAATAATAGTGGAGGAAGAGAGGGTTCAATTAAATGAACTATCTAAACAAATTGATGCTAGTATTAAATCCTTGGACCCTCTGAAGGATAACCCTGATTTTGAAAAATATAATGACTTCCTTAAAAAAAGAGACAGAAAAAATACAAAAGAATTTGAAATTTACTAAACAACAAAAATTTAAAAGGGATCTGGAGGACTAGGAAAGATCTTTGATCTATCTAATAATAGAGGAAGAAGTCAATCTAGGCGTAAGAGACATTTCTCCAGAAATAGTAGACAATATTCATCCATGAGTGAGGAAGATGATGACTATAATAGAAGATCGGTTAGTTTTTTAGAGGAGGAAAAAAACATTGGGGAGAGCCAAGGCATCTTAAAAACAGGTAAACAAACAAATAAATGTGACAAAAGACAAAAGAAGTGCCATGGCTACTCCCAAATCCTCCAATCAAAATTGTACTCGGAGCCACAAGAGATAGAACTAAAATTCCAGGAAAATGTTGAAGATTTGAAGGTAATAAATCTATCTAAATTTGTTTTAGAAGAGAGACATTATGATTTACTGCGTAAGAGACTAACTTTTTCTCCTACTGATAAAATAAACCTGTTTGAAGTCTATAAAGACTTGAATCTATTTTTGAGGAAAATTATGTTAAGAATCCCATATATTTCCGAAATTGAAAAAAATGCGTTTGGTTTAGATTCAGAAAGGGAACAACAGGCAGTTAAAGATCTTTTAAGTTTCCTAGATGAGGCATCTACTATGAAGGAACCTGTTGAAGGGTGTACTTCTGATAGATGGAAAAGACATACTAAATTAATAACTCTGTCTAGGAGAATGCCCAATATTAGAGAAAATAAATGGCTTAGTACCTTTTTAGATCTGGTGCATAATGATCTGTGTAAAATTAACTGGTCTATGAGGAATTTGGATAATCTCACTAGAGACAAAAAAAGAGCACTTTTGGAGTTAAAAAATGTGAAAGATATCGTAATAAAGAAAAGTGATAAAGGGGGGAATGTAGTGTTACTACAGAGTGATGACTATGAGAAGGAAATTTTGAGACAACTGAGGGACCCTAATACATACCGTAAACTACATATGAATCCCTTCCCTAAAATAGCTGAGGCTTTAAATAGAAAGATAAAATGTGCATTTGAAGTAAACCTTTTAACAAAACAGGAATGTGATATGCTGACAGTTGATATTTATAACATCCCTACGTTTTATGTTATTCCTAAAATACACAAGAATCCCACCCAACCACCGGGACGTCCAATAGTATCAGCTATAAAAGGCCCACTTAAAACAGTTGGTAAATTTGTTGATGACCTTATTAAAGATATGGTCATCGAACTCAGGTCTTATGTAAGAGATACCGGAGATGTACTGGAAAAAATTGGAAATTTTAAAGTACCAGAGGGAGCACTTCTAGTGGGTATAGATGTTGAATCGTTATATACCTCGATCCCACGTTTGGGGATTGAGAGCTATAGCTTTTTTTCTGGAAGCACAATTCCCAGAAATGGAGGCTCAGAATGAATTCATCCTGGACCTCATGGAATTTATGTTGATACATAATTGCTTTCAATTTCTGGGGGCCTGTTATCAACAGGTATGTGGTACTTCCATGGGAGCACCTTGGGCTCCGGCCTATGCATGTCTTCATCTGGGCCTATGGGAAGAAGATTTGGTATATCCATCTATTCCCTTTAACCAACATGTAGTGAAATGGCTGAGGTACATTGATGACGTCCTGATGATATGGGATGGAGATACGGGACAACTGGAATGTTTTCTTGAATTCTTGAATGAGAATGATAGGAATATTAGACTAACATATACGGCTGATAGCGAAGTAATTTCATTCTTAGATCTCTCTATTTCAATTTGTGAGAATAGATTAACTACTAAAACATTTAGAAAAGAAACAGCAGCGAATACACTTTTACACGCTACCAGTTATCACCCGGAAAGTTTAAAACAGGGTATACCCATTGGCCAATTTCAGAGAATCAAAAGGAACTGCACTAATGATGTTCAATATAAAGCTGAATCTATCCAGCTTTTTAAAAGGTTTAGGGAAAGGGGGTATTCACATAGGACTTTGAGAAGAGCTAAACGAAGAGCCTCCTATAAAACAAGGGATGAATTAATCAGTAAATCTAAACCTAAAGTGGGGGATAAAGCTTTAAATCAACCAGTAAGATTTATAACTAAATTTGGACAAAAATGGAATGAAGTTAAAAAGGTCCTGGATTCACATTGGCATTTATTAATTTAAAATTCAGGAATAGCACAGATAGTGGGTGATAGCCCACACATGGTTGCAAAAAGAGCCCAAAATCTGAATGATATTTTAGCACAATCAGAATTTCAAAGAGCCCCTCAAATCAATTGGTTAACTAAGCAAACTCGTATAACTGGTATGTTCCCCTGTGGCCATTGCCAAATTTGTCCGTATGTACATAAGACCAACCAGTTTCTCAATGCAGATGAATCTCAGGGATTTAACATAAGAAATTTCATCAACTGTTCTAGTAATAAGGTAATCTATATGATAGAATGCCCATGTAAAAAGAAGTACATAGGGAAAACAAAAAGAACCCTTAGAACTAGGATAGGTGAACATCTGAGAGATATTAAAAATGAGAACAAATATAGAAATGAAAAAGAGAGGGAAAACCCGCTAGCTCAACATTTTAAGGAGGTACATGGGGGAAGAACTGAAGGTCTGAAAGTTAAGGGAATTTTCCTGTTAAATATTTCAGCTAGACAAGGTGACTTTGATAAAGTTCTTCTTCAAAAAGAAAAATTTTGGATATATACCCTTGGTACGTTAATCCCATATGGACTAAATACAGAACTTTAAAGTCTTTTTGAATTGAATATAAGATTTAGTCCACGGCCTAAGACTTATCCACACTGCCATCAGAGTCAAAAGAATTATATTTTCTTTCTTTAAGGTGGCTTTTCCTTAAAATAAGGCTTTCTCTGTAATGTCACTATTCAGTATATGTCTTTCTATGTGATCTTGGATTTTAATGTAGTGATGGTTTTTCAACACAAGAGGGTGAAATAAACAACCTTGTGTAGTCCCCTCCCAGTTCTGACGAAGTCCGCGGTGATTGGCGGACGAAACGCGTCAACGTGATGACATCATTACGCTCGGCGTCTCCATAGGGCACGGTGCCCACGAGGAAGGAAGGAGCGGTTTGCTTCAGCTCCACACTGGAAAGGCAGGAGACACTTAAATCACGATAAGGCCATCATCTTAAGCAGCACATGGCGATTTTGAGTCACAGCCTACTTCCACCGGTGGAAGCTTTTTGGCTTAAATAGGCTTTAGTGCTATTTGTATACGGGGAGCATACCCCGCATTTTGGAAACCATGTGTTTATCAGCCCCTCTCTGGGGGAATGTTTTTGAACTCCTATTGGAGGAACACATATATAACACGCTGTACATGTGCTGTGGCATGTGATATTAGTCTCATATATATTTTGAAGGAACCGCATTACTTTCTCAGCATTGAGCAATTTTTGGAAACCCAGATTTGGGTATATACATTGAAGTATACACGGACTGTAACAACTAGCCTGGACTTTATACATAAACCACCTGATTCCGCACCCCCATATTCACCATTCTTTATCAAGACCTGATCTTACTTCAAGTGAGGTGGAGTCTCCTTGATCTTGTGTATGGTAATATATTTATATTTTTTACCCTTATTTAGTTTCATTCAGGTATGCTGCTTGCTATTCACGTTTTATATTTATACATCTTTAGAATCACTTGTTATTGTGGATTCACTTCCATCTGGGGTGGCTACCCAGGAAGGTCACATATCCATCCTTTCATGATGGTCAAGCTCATGAGAAGGTAATGGAACAATCAATGTACCTATTAATGTGGTTATTCTGTTACTGCACATGATAAGTGCACATATCCTGTTCATGTTTCCTCTACTATGATCTCCTTTTTGGTTTTCCATTTTAGGAAGTCATTCCGTCTATTGTGGTGGTTACCAAAAATATTTTTTTGAAGAATGATCTCCCTATTCAGATATCGTGTGGAAAAGATATGGAAATCTTTGATCATGTAGTTAGGAACTTCATTGCCTTATGTGGATTCCTGATTGCCAAATAATAACTAGACTTGGAGACGCCAAATGTTTTTAATTTTGTGATTTTATTATGACTTGTTTACCATGTCTATGTCTAACCTCTTTATGATCCATGAGATCAAATAAAGCATTTTTGTAATTATTAACAAATGTTGTTATATTACTCCGCTTGGATTTTCAATTAACCACTCTGTGTGAGCAGTATTGCACCTGTCATACTGCTATTTTTTATGTGGAGTATTTTGGGTTTATAAATCCACTTATTATAAGTGAGACGGAGGTATGAACATGACACAGGTATACGTGTCATGTTAGGTGGCTTCTTCCTTTTTTGTTTAATTATTATAGATCCTCTAAGTGTCTGTGAAATATCCCACCACAAAACGTCCTCAGCCAATGGCAGGTGAGGACGCCATTTTTATTCTTCTGCTGCCATCAATGATCAAACTGGACCCACACTTCATCCACGTCTTTGGTGAACTCTGACCTCCTTATGAACCCTTTCTTCCATGATGATCAGCCAAGGAGTATATCTGAGGTGTATATCAGGGGGTGCTTCTTCCCCACATGAGAGGTGGGATGTCCAGCAACATTCACAGCAACAGAAGACATTTCCCGCACTCAAGGCACTAATACACCTCCAGGGTTGTGTGGGACCCCTGATGTACAGGAAGACAAGACATCAGTGAGGAACATTTCCCTCACTCAGGACAGGAATGTGGCTTCTCCCCCCCGTGTGAGATCTCTGATGTCCGGAAAGTTGGGACATCAGTGAAAAACATTTCCCGCACTCAGGACAGCAATAAGGCTTCTCCCCCCTGTGTGATCTCTGATGTATGTAAAGACTGGACTTCTGTGTAAAACATTTCCCACACTCTGGACAGGAATACGGCTGCTCCCCCGTGTGAGATATCTGATGTCTGGAAAGATGTGACTTCTGTGCAAAACATTTCCCGCACTCAGGACAGGAATACGGCTTCTCTCCCGTGTGAGATCTCTGATGTTTATAAAGGTTGGACTTCTGTGAAAAACATTTCCCGCACTCCGGACAGGAATGAGGTTTCTCTCCCCCTGTGAGATCTCTTGTGTCTGTAAAAAGCGGACGTCAATGAAAAAACATTTCCCGCACTCAGAACAGGAATATGGCTTATCACCTGTGTGCAGTCTCTGATGTTTGGAAAGACTGTACTTATCTGAAAAACATTTCCCGCACTCAGGACAACCATACGGCCTTTCCCCAGTGTGAGACCTATGATGTATGACAAGTTCTGATTTTGTTACAAAACATTTCCCGCAAACAGAACAGGAATACGGCTTCTCTCCTGTGTGTAATCTCTGGTGTTTATAAAGATTGGACTTCCCTGAAAAACATTTTCCGCACTCAAGACAGGAAAATGGCTTCTCCCCCGTGTGCAATCTCTGATGTGCAACAAGTTCTGATTTTTGTACAAAACATTTCCCGCACTCAGGACAGGAATATGGCTTTTCACCTGTGTGTGATCTCTGATGTCTGTGAAGAATAAACTTTCGTGAAAAACATTTTCCACATTCAAGACAGGAATATGGCTTCTCTCCCCGTGTGTGATCTCTGATGTCTGTAAAGATGACACTTATGTGAAAAACATTTCCCGCACTCAGGACAGAAATATGGATTCTCACCGGTGTGAGATCTCTGATGTCTGTAAAGATGGGACTTCTGTGAAAAACATTTCCCGCACTCAGGACAGGAGTGTGGCTTCTCACCAGTGTGAGATCTATTATGCATATTAAGTTTGTATTTAAAACGGAAACATTTCCCGCACTCAGGGCAGGAATATGGCTTCTCCCCAGTGTGAGATCTTTTATGGTCATTAAGACCGGATTTGTAACGGAAACATTTCCCACACTCAGTACAGGTGAAGCTCTTCCCTGTGTGAAGGTCGGCCCGGTCCCGCACAGCCTGAGGTTCCTCAGGATACGAGGAATCTGATGGTCCATCTACACTGGGTGGTGCCGGATGGACATTGGAGGGAGTCGGATTTTCTCTTGGACTATACTGTGTGATGTCCTCATCTTCTACTTTCCAGTCTGGAGACAAAGTGAGACAATCCTCGGAGGTTTTCCTCATCTCCCGGCCATGGACTAAAATACAAAGACAAAGAGGATTAATAGACAGGAGCCCCACCAGAGGTCAGAGAGTGAGGATGGGGGGAGGGGGACCAAGAGGAAGACTGGACTCATCCTGAAGACCACCATCATTGGGGTATCGGCTCCTCCCCCATCCTGAAGACCACCATCATTGGGGTATTGGCTCCACCCCCATCCTGACCCTGAAGACCACCATCATTGGAGTATTGACTCCTCCCCCCCATCCTGACCCTGAAGACCACCATCATTGGGGTATTGACTCCTCCCCCATCCTGACCCTGAAGACCACCATCATTGGGGTATTGGCTCCTCCCTCATTATTACTTTCTGGTTGGAGGATGTGATCACATTATTATCACCATGTAACAGTCTGTGCTCCAATCACATCATCCGATATAAAATGTCCAGCTGGTAGGAAATGGGGGAAACAGAGGAGAAGACATATTATGTGTATATATAGCAGTGGGAGACGAGGGAGAGCAAAAGTCAGGACTATGGAATGTACAACATAAAGTATACAGTGCAGGGGTCAGGAAAATGTAATGTAAAACAGAGTATATAGTGCAGGGGTCAGGAGTATATAATGTAAAACAGAGTATATAGTGCAGGGGTCAGGAGTATGTAATGTACAACATGGAGTATATAGTGCAGGGGTCAGGAGTATGTAATGTACAACATGGAGTATATAGTGCAGGGGTCAGGAGTATGTAATATACAACATGGAGTATATAGTGCAGGGGTCAGGAGTATGTAATATACAACATGGCGTATATAGTGCAGGGGTCAGGAGTATGTCATGTACAGCTCAGGTAAGTGACCAGGGTATTACAGGCTGATATCACCCCACCCCACCCTGAACCAATCAGTGAGCAGTATGGGTGGAGGAATGGATTTAGTGTTCATGACCCACCTGTGCTGATCTCTGTAGGAGTGTCCTCCTCTATAAATGTCCCCGTTATTCCATCCTCCTCCATAGACTGCTGATCATCCCTCACATACGCCTCTTCTTCTTCTGATTTCACCTCAAATTTCTATATCGATTGGATCTCCACTCTACATCAAGAGAAGGAGAGAAAATATCATCTGTAAGATAGAAGATTTATTATTGTGACATTAAATAGAAAATCCGCACATCGTCTCCATGAGTCCATGTTCTAGATTCTCCATCCCACCAACCTTGTAATAGTGAGGGATGGTGTGACTTTCCTGTGTGTGGAATCCCAGGAATACAGGGACGGGGACATCTCTCTGGTGGGGTTCCTGGTATTAGGTGGCTCCATCATATCCTTGTGTCCTTCTGAAAACTCCTCCATCACTCCATACTCCTCATCCTCCTCTTTATACTCTTCTTTAACAACAATATTATCATCCCCGAGGATTCCACTCTAAACATTCAAAAATATATTCAATATAACAAACATTCTTGTCTATACATTTTAGCCATCAGTGATTGTTCCTCATCTACCTGATGATGGTGAGGGCTGGTGTGACCTTCCTGTGTGGAATCCCGGGAATACAGAGGACGGGGACATCTCTCTGGTGGGTTCCAATGACTGGATCCATCTACCTGATGATGCTGAGGGATGGTGTGATCTTTCTGTGTGGAATCCCGGGAATACAGAGGACGGGGACATCTCTTTGGTGGGTTCTCATGACTGGATCCACCTACCTGATGATGGTGAGGGATGGTGTGACCTTCCCTGTGTGGAATCCCGGGAATACAGAGGATGGGGACATCTCTCTGGTGGGTTCCCATGACTGGATCCATCTGTAGGAAACACACACACTGACTAAATCCATTCTTTCTATGTGTTTATCAGATGATGGGGGATCTAGGGAACTGACACACACAATGTGATCCTCCGTACTGATCTCTCCTTTCCAATAAAGTCTCCTCTTACCCGGTGATGTGAGGGGCGGCTGATTGTCCATCATGACGTCCTTGTAGAGGTCCTTGTGTCCTTCTAAATACTCCCACTCTAGAATCTTCTTCTTTTTCTCTCTTCTATCAGGGAGGGAGGTGGAGGCAATGTGATGTCATACGATCTCCAGACTTCACAGGAGGAAAATTCTAGTCTGAAAAACAAATATTACATTCTAATGAAATTCCCAGAATCCTCCTCACCTCCCCAGTCAGGTATCCGTTTAGTAAAAGCCCCACTTCAGGCTGAGGTATAATTTACCCCCACAGGACCCCCCAATCCATAGATTACATGGTTGTAGGCAATTCTGGCTTTCTTACTTACAACACAAGTCCTGCCTTGCTAGGGAGGACGGCAAGGATCCACCAACATTCCAAGGGCATCAGAAGAAAAAAAGCTGATTGGAGGGACATTGGGAGGAGGAGCTGTAAGGTCAGTGTGATGTCATAGGATCCTGACTCCAGTTGGAGGACATTGGGAGGAGGAGCTGTGAGGTCAGTGTGATGTCATAGGATTCTCGGACTCCGGATGGAGTGACATTGGGAGGAGGAGTTGTGAGGCCAGTGTGATATCATACAGGGGCGGACTGACCATTAGGAAACTCGGGCGCTGCCCGAAGGCCCGGGGTCAGTAGGGGGGCCCCATGAGATGCCCTTGGTACCTTTTTCATAGGCTTTTTTGAGTTTGGGCAAGGACACAGGGGCCCCATGATCCCCTATTGCCCAGGGGAGCCCCATGAGTTGTCAGTCCGCCCCTGATGTCATAGGATTCTCTGACTCTGGTTGGAGGGACATTGGGAGGAGGAGCTGTGAGGTCAGTGTGATGTCATAGGATTCTCTGACTCCGGTTGGAGGGACATTGGGAGGAGGAGCTGTGAGGTCAGTGTGATGTCATAGGATTCTCTGACTCCGGTTGGAGGGACATTGGGGGGAGGAGCTGTGAGGTCAGTGTGATGTCATAGGATTCTCTGACTCCGGATGGAGGGACATTGGGGGGAGGAGCTGTGAGGTCAGTGTGATGTCATAGGATTCTCTGACTCCGGTTAGAGCAGCGGTTTTCAACCTGGGGGTCGCGACCCCTTTGGGGGTCGAACGACCATTTTGTGCAGGGGTCGCCTAAGACTAGCATCGGAAAACACATATTTCCGATGGTCTTAGGAACCGAGACACCGCTCCTCTGACTCAGTCGATGTGTGGGCGGGATGACACGCTGCCCTGTCACCTGGCCACACTCCGGGATCCCTCAACAACTCCGCCTCCTCGCCGCTGATTGGCCACCGGAACTGTAGCTCAGGAGAGGCACACAGGCGGCCAATCACCGGCGAGGAGGTGGAGCTTGGAGAGGAGGAGCCGAGCGGCAGCGCGCGTAGATCTAAGAAGATCGAGGGAACTGCCGGAGTAAGTGAAGAGGAGAGCGGCCAGAGAAGGAAGACAGCTGACAGGTAAGTGAGAGAGCGAGCCCAGGCTGGAGCAGGGGTCAGCAAGGTAAGTATCATTGGTGTCAGTGGGAGGAATAGTGCCCCATCATTTGTGTGACTAATACCAACAATGGGGCACTATTTCTCCCACTGACACCAACGATGGGGGCACTATTCCTCCCCCCCACTGACACCAACGATGGGGCACTATTCCTCCCCCCCACTGACACCAACGATGGGGCACTATTCCTCCCCCCCACAGACACCAACGATGGGGCACTATTCCTCCCCCCACTGACACCAAGAATGGGGCACTATTCCTCCCCCCACCGACACCAACGATGGGGCACTATTTTTCCCCCCCCTGACCCCAAAGATGGGGCACTATTTCCCCCTCCACCACACTGACATCAATGATGGGGCACTATTCCTCCCTGACTGACACCAATGATGGGGCACTATTCCTCCCACTGACACCAATGATGGGGCACTATTCCCCCCACTGACACCAAATGATGGGGCACTATTCCACCCCACTGACACCAATGATGGGGCACTATTCCCCCCACTGACACCAACGATGGGGCACTATTCCCCCCACTGACACCAACGATGGGGCACTATTCCCCCCACTGACACCAACGATGGGGCACTATTCCCCCCACTGACACCAACGATGGGGCACTATTTCCCCCCACTGACACCAACGATGGGGCACTATTCCCCCCACTGACACCAACGATGGGGCACTATTCCCCCCACTGACACCAACGATGGGGCACTATTCCCCCCACTGACACCAACGATGGGGCACTATTCCCCCACGGCCACTGACACCAACGATGGGGCACTATTCCCCCCACTGACACCAACGATGGGGGAGGCACTATTCCTCCCACTGACACCAACGATGGGGCACTATTCCCCCCCACTGACACCAACGATGGGGCACTATTCCCCCCACTGACACCAACGATGGGGCACTATTTCCCCCCCACTGACACCAACGATGGGGCACTATTCCCCCCACTGACACCAACGATGGGGATCAAGGCACTATTCCTCCCACTGACACCAACGATGGGGCACTATTCCTCCCACTGACACCAATGATGGGGCACTATTCCTCCCACTGACACCAACGATGGGGCACTATTCCTCCCACTGACACCAACGATGGGGCACTATTCCTCCCACTGACACCAACGATGGGGCACTATTCATCCCACTGACATCAGTGATGGGGCACTACTCCTTCCACTGACACCAATGATGTGGCACTATTCCTCCCACTGCAAA